GGCTCATGTGAGGTCCAGCGGGGTGGGGTTACACGCGGATCCAGACCCGTTGTCGCGCCTTTCTGTGGGGTTGCCGAGTGCGCAATTGTCGCAATTTTCGTGTGCTCCCGTGTTGCCCATGTGCCCATGTGCTTGGACACCCGGTTTGCACTCATTCATATTCATATTCATCTTCATATTCATATTCATATTCATATTCTTATTCATATTCGTATTCATATTTATATTCATATTCATATTCATTCTGATAATCATATTCATATTCATATTCGTATTCATATTCATATTCATATTCATATTCGTATTCATATTCATATTCATATTCATATTCATATTCATATTCATATTCATATTCATCTTCATCTTCATATACATATTCATATTCTTATTCATATTCATATTCATCTTCATCTTCATATTTTATATTCATATTCATATTCATATTCATATTCATATTCATATTCATATTCATATTCATATTCATATTCATATTCATATTCATATTCATATTCATATTCATATTCATATTCATATTCATATTCATATTCATATTCATATTCATATTCATATTCATATTCATATTCATATTCATATTCATCATATTCATATTCATATTCATATTCATATTCATATTCATATTCATATTCATATTCATATTCATCATTTTCATTTTCATAGTCATAGTCATATTCGTATTCGTATTCGTATTCGTATTCGTATTCGCATTCGCATTCGCATTCGCATTCATATTCATATTCCTATTCCTATTCATGTTCATATTCATATTCATATTCATATTCATATTCGTATTCATATTCATATTCACATTCGCATTCCTATTCCTATTCATATTCATATTCGTATTCATATTCATATCCATATCCATATTCGTATTCATATTCATATTCACATTCATATTCATGTTCATATTCATATTCATATTCATATTCATATTCATATTCATATTCATATTCATATTCATATTCATATTCATATTCATATTCATATTCATATTCATATTCATATTCATATTCATATTCATATTCATATTCATATTCATTCATTCATATATTCATATTCATATTCATATTCATATTCATATTCATATTCATATTCATATTCATATTCATATTCATATTCATATTCATTCATTCTTTCCTTCCATTCATTTCATTCGTTTCATTCATTCATTCATTCATTCATTCATTCATTCATTTATACATTCATTCATGCATTTATACATGCATGCATTCATTCATTCATTCGTTCGTTCGTTCGTTCGTTCATTCATTCATTAGTGGGAGGTCCAGTTGAGCGTAGTAACCCACGGACCCAGGCTGGACCTCGCTTTCCCCCGGGGGGCTGCGCAATGCGCAATCCTTTCCACCGCGATGGCTTCTGGGGGTCCAGCTGAGTGGAGGTACGCGCGGATCCAGACGGGACCTCGTGGTTTTCTGGGGGTGCTGCGAAATTGCGCAATTGTTGCTATCTTCGCGGGCTCCTGGGGTTCATCGGCGAGGATGAACATTCGTACCCAGATGGGACATCACGGCTTCTTGGGGGGTTGCGAATTGCGCAATCGTTTCCACCGCGATGGCTTCTGGGGGGTCCAGCTGAGTGGAGTTACGCGCGGATCCAGACGGGGCCTCGTGGTTTTCTGGGGGTGCTGCGAATTGCGCAAGTGTCGCCATCTTCGCGAGCTCTTGGGAGGTCCAGCGGAGTGGGGTTACACGTGGACCCAAACGGGACCTCACGGCTCCCTGGTGGGCTGCCACCAGTGCAATTGTCGCCACTTTCGTTGGTTCGTGGGAGTTCCAGCGGAGCAGAGTTACACGCGGATCCAGACGGTATTTCGCGGCCCCTCCGGGGGCTGCGAATTGCGCAATTGTCGCCGCGTCGAGGCGGGACCTCATGGCTCCTTCGGAAACTGCCGACCGCGCTGTCGCCACTTTCGTGGGCTCCTGGGAGGTCCAGCAGAGTGGGGTTACATTCGGTCCAGCCGAGATGTCGCTGCTTTCTGTGGGGCTGTGAACTGCGCGATTGTCGCGATTTTCGTGGGCTCCTGGGATGCCCAGCTGGGTGACGTCTGGGCCACGATTTGCGCACCTGAGGCCACGCTCGTGGTCTCGCAGTCCCCGGGGGCTGCGACCTGCGAGGCTGCCGCAGCTCGCAGATCGCAGCGCGGTGGGGCGCCGCGCAGCGCGTGGCGCTGTCCTGCGTCCATGCCGCATCCTCTCTTCCGCTTCCTCTTGGCGGTCATGCGCTCAGGCATGTGCGGCGCTCAGCGCCGGGCGCCGTTCTGTGCTGCGCATACAGCGCGCGGCGCTCTCACTTCCGCCAATCATTTGTCCGGTTCTCCCCTCTCCGGCTGTTTCTACACGCGTCGTTCTGCTCATCTCATATTATCCTGGTCGTTCTGTGCCAATGATTCAAATCGTAAGGTTGACGCCGCGATTGGGACATTGACTGTGTCGCGGGTTGGCTTGGGAACGTCCTTGGATAATTTGTTGTCATCCGGAAGTACCGGTTTTCGTTAGCCTGCTACGAGGTTGTTGGTTTTATGTTTGAAGTGTTGCTCTCGCTGCATTTTGGCTTTGTTTCAGAATAGGTGCTTTGCGCCCGTCGTTCAGTATTGCGCTCTCACTCTGGCGTCGGCTACATCTCTGGATCAGATTCCTTCGTCTCCTCGCCCTTTCTCCTTTCCCCTCCATCGTCTTCCCCTGGTCCTTCAACTCTTCCAGCTTCTCATACTTATGCCCTCGTTGCTGCTGCTATTCCTCATTCCTCATAGTCCTCCTCTTCCCTCCTCACCCTCCTCATTCGCCATTACCTCCTCATGCTCCTCCTTCAACGTGCACAGCTTCCCTTTCTGATTGCGCATCACACGATGGGCCATTTTTTGGGCCAGGTCTTCTAGGGCACCCGTCGGTGGATTGAGACAAAGCCAGCACAATGGGAAGAGGCGGGATGGAAGGGCAGAGTGTCAGATATAGCGCGATCCCAGGGGTTTGCTTCGTCACCCTCACCCTGGCCCTGCTCTCCCCCGCCCATTCCCCCCACTCCCTTCCTTCGCTTCTACCCGGGAGGAAGAGCAGGAGTTTGCGGCGGGGGAGCAGGAGGAAGACGACGAAGGCGACGAGCGGCTGTGTCTTGCTCCTTTTTCCGTCGAACATTGTGCGCCCGAGCATACGCAGAGAACACCCGCCCCCCCCCCCCCGAATTTTCGGCAGTTCGAGACTCGCCGACGACCGCCGAGAACCGTTTTTTTTTTTTTTTTGTTTCTGGCGACGACGGCGGTGGCGCCGACGCCGCCACGGAGGAAACGGGTCCCGAGGGCAACGGAACGGGCCCCGAGGGCTCTCGCCGTTTTTTGGCACCCGGGGTCCTGCACGGGCCCCCGGGACTGTCAGAAAACGATCCAGGATGAAGATGGGGGGCCACACGCGAACCCTACCCCCCCCACGATTTCCGAGGCGTAGGGTGGGGTTCAATCCGCTCGGGAGCTCCCGAGCGAAGTGGACCCCCCCCCCCCCTCAGAAAGCGTGGGGGGTAGGGGTAGGGTTCGCATGTGCCCCCCTAGAAGATCTCGACCTGGGGGAGGCCTGGGCGACGTGATGTCAGCGACGTCAAAACACACGACTTGGTAGTCACGTTGTCCAGCCCGCCCTTGCCAGACTCTTCCAATGGGCCTGCAAACCGCTGTGGCTGCGCGTGGGCCTGGGGCGTGGTGAGAACCGAGCCAAATGCTCCTACAGGCCATGCACGTGACAATAAGGAGTACACAAGGACCACCGCCCACCCCCAACCAGCCTCCAACCACCCAGGACCCGCTTCCCTCGAGCGGTTGCGACGAGGGCCTCCGAGGAGGCCCAAGAAGCGTGGCAACGAGGTGAGGGTAACGGCATCGGTAACGGCAGGGGCCAGCCTTCTGCGACGAGCGACCCTGGAACACTATCCTCCTCCTCCTCCCTCCTCCTCCTCCTCCTCCTCCTCCTCCTCCTCCTCCTCCTCCTCCGCCCTCCTCCCTCCTCCCTCCGCTCCGCCCTCCTTCCTCCTCCCTCCTCCCTCCTCCCTCCTCCCACCCCCCTCCTTCCTCCTCCTCCTCCTCCTCCTCCTCCTCCTCCTCCTCCTCCTCCTCCTCCTCTCCTCCTCCCTCCTCCTCCTCCTCCTTCTCCTCTTCCTTCTCCTCGCCCTCCTCCTCCTCCTCCTCCTCCTCCTCCTCCTCCTCCTCCTCCTCCTCCCCCTCCTCCTCCTCCTCCCCCCCTCCTCCTCCTCCTCCTCCTCCTCCTCCTCCTCCTCCTCCTCCTCCTCCTCCTCCTCCCCTCCCCTCCTCCTCCTCCTCCTCCTCCTCCTCCTCCTCCTCTTCCTCCTCCTCACGGATTCCCATATTCAACGCACCAGAAGTTGTGTTTTGGAAGGATTCATGATTATGCGGGCGCAGCAGTTATGTTGATTCGCTGTGCTGAAGTCGCAAAAACGGGCGTTCTGGCACGATTCTGGATCGTCAAGACGCAGCAATCAGGTTGATACGTGGCGTTGAAATCCCGAGAACAACGTTTTGACACGCTTCAGGATCTTCAAACTGCTGTCTTCCAACGAGGCAGTTCCCTCAATGGAGATGAACCGTTGCAGGGGCCTATGAAGAGGGAGCTAGGAGGGAGGGTTAATTCCAACATCGTTGAAGTCTCTTGGGTTTCCACTGGTCCTCCTCCTCCTCCTCCTCCTCCTCCTCATCCCCCTCCCCCTCCTCCTCCTCCTCCTCCTCCTCCTCCTCCTCCTCCTCCTCCTCCTCCTCCTCCTCCTCCTCCTCCTCCTCCTCCTCCTCCTCCTCCTCCTCCTCGTCCCCCTCCTCCTCTTTCTTCTCCTCTTCCTTCTCCCCCCCTCCTCCTCCCCCCCCCTCTTCCTCCTCTTCCTCCTCCTCCTCCTCCTCCCTGGACCCGTCTTTCTTTTCCCATGCCTGACGACGGCGACCGCCCGGGTCGCGGCCGGCGCCGTGCAAGTGCCCCGCCGTCGCCGACGCGCAACCGCAACCCGCTGGCCGGCAAGGACGCCCCGCCCGCCCTCGGGCCCGGGGGTTTATTCGCGAGCTGCCGCGCCGCCCGCTCGGCCTGGCTTTTTTGGGGGGGAGGGCCAGGGGGGGGAGGGCAAACGGGGGAGGAGGGCGAAGAGACGAGGGGCGAGGAGGACGGGGAGGAGGGGCGAGGAGGAGGAGGGAGGGGGGTGGGTGCGAGGAGGACGAGTGGGGGGAGCAGGGGCGAGGGGGGGAGGAGGACAGGATGGCGAGGGGCGAGGAGAACGAGGGGGGGAGGAGGGGCGAGGAGGACGGGGGGCGGAGGCAGGGCGAGGAGGAGGAGGGGGAGGAGGGGCGAGGAGGACTAGGGGGAGGGGGAGCGGCGAGGAGGACGAAAGCGGGGGGGAGGGGCGAGGAGCAGTGGGGGTGGAGGAGGGGCGAGGGGGGATAGAAAGAAAAAACACTGCAAAACATAAGTTTGAGGAGCTCCGCGCGTTTTTTTTTTGGGAAACCTCTCACGCTAGGGAAGGGCGTCCATCGCAGATCCAAGACATCCGCGCGGACCTCCGGAGGTTGATATTGATATTGTTTTTTTCGTGCCTCTAGGGGAGGAGGAGGGGCAAAGGAAGAGGAGGAGAAGGATGATGTGGAGGAGGAGGAGGAGGAGGATCAGTCAGCATTCAGAATCTGATGCGGGACCCAAGTGCAAGCCTGGCCGCGACTCCGAAATCAATCAAGCGGGAATGTCATGCCCGACTTTTGGCGCAACCCTTCCCTGAACCTGCTGAGCGCTTCATGACTGTTTCGCAGTGGCGAGCACAGGAGGGCTTCGGGTGGGCGGACACTGTAATCTCATGTTTCGGGAACTGGTGACTCCGAAACACCCACACCGAGTACAACACAAAACACCGTTCAACGTGGCCAGCAGATGGAGACATGGTCAACATGGCTCAGGAGATGTCCCGAGGCATCACCCAACGGAGCCGCCTCGGCCCCTTCCGCACCCCCGACTGGGCTCGACCTTCCCCTGCTGGCTCACACAGATGAGCAAGCCTAGACTTCTTGCATGGCTGTGGACAGAACTCGGCCAGCGATTCCCGCTGAGAAAAAACTTCAAAGAACAGATAGTGCACTTGATAAGCGTATCAGATTTGACAAGAGGACAATGCCAGCTGTTCACAGTCTCTTAAGGCGGGTGCCCAGGGAAGCCTCCAGCCGCCTGGCTCGCTCATGCTCACGACCAGTGCGCACACGCTCACGTGACACGTCGTACAACCTTCACGCTGAACAGCAAGCGACCGACTCAAAATATCACGGTGAGGGTATCGCAGGCAAGGGTGGCTTGGACATGTTCAGGAGAGGGGGCATCCCGACTCACGGCCTCACCAGCACACGCATCGTCAACGGCATTCAACAACCGTTCGATTAGTGTCAGGCCCAGAGCCTCGATCTGGTGAGCAGCACGGTGAGATTTCGTCAAACGCAGATCTACGGCCCCCGCACACTTATGAATTTCAGCCCCACACCCACACCCTCAAATCAAGCATAGCAGAGTTGACCAGGGAAGAACAGAGTTTTCTGAAATCACGCACCAAGGTGAAGTAAGAGGACAAGACCATGGACCGTTCCGTACGCCGACGCATTAGCCAGAGGACCGCCGTGAGACCGGTTCATGGCGAGCTCTGAATCTCGCCGCTGAGCGGGCCACAGAAAACGTCGTCGACATCATTCAACGATGGTCCAAGCCTACAAATATCTCACCCGCAGCGCCTTAGCCCCCAGTACTTAGCATGCTCTCCCCCCGATCCATCTATGCCCCACACGCCTCCCGAGACAGTCTGAGAGTCTGATAGGACCCCCAGAACTCCAAAACATCTCGATTGATGCGGGAAGATGGCCCATCGACCTTTTAGGCATACGGCCGCGACACCACAGGGCAGGTCAGGGCAATCTGAAAATTCTTAAGCAGCCTGACGACACGGCTGTTGGGTACGTTCCACTTTTGCCCAGGGGATTCATTCCCAGAGCTTACGAAAAAGGATTTTCCCCAGAGCTTACGAAAAAGCTTACGAAAAAGCTGACGAAAAAGCTTACGAAAAGCTGGGCTGTTGCATCCCCAGAGCTTACGAGAAAAAGGATGTTCCGGCACGCGCCCGCCCTGCCGGCAAAAAGGCCAGTCGAGACACCGGAAAATACCCGCTGGAAGTCGAGCTGTTCTCCGTCCCAACACCCCCCAGGACACGGTATTCCTCAGGACTCACCAGCCCTCAGAGTCTGAGTCCGCAGACGTCGCCTCCAAAATGGAGCGAACCGAAGTAACATCGGCATCTCGTCCAACAGGAAGCGGAGACATGTTGGACTCACTTGCCCTCAGAGTCTGAATCCGTAGACGTCGCCTCCAAAATGGAGCGAACAGAGGTAACATCGGCATCTCGCCCAACAGGAAGCGGAGACACGTATTTTGGGCGTGTGGATCAGCGGCGGGTCCTGATTCCGTACGGCGTCGAGGGGGCATTTTCCCCGATCTGGGGATCCCGCGCCAACGCTTCAGATCAACAGGAGGAGGGGTGGTTCGAGGGGCTGTAGCTTGGTCAGAGAGGGTTCTGTGGCGTGCTGAGGGGGAGGAGGAGGAGGAGGAGGAGGAGGAGGAGGAGGAGGAGGAGGAGGATGAGGACGGAGCATCATGAGAGGAAGGAAGAAAATGATGATGATGAGGAGGAGGAGGAGGAGGAGGAGGAGAAGGAGGACCGGTGTAAACCCAAGACCCATCAACGATGTTGCAATGCACCCTCCCTCCAAGTTTCCTCTTCATAGGCTCCTGCACGGATTAATTTTCACTGAGGGAATTGCCCCGTTGGATGACAGCCTTTTGAACATCCGGAGTTGCGCCAGAACGCCGTCACCGGGGCTTCAACGCCGCGAATCACCGCTACCGTTGCGCCTCGACGATCCCGACTCGTGCCAGAAAGCGATTCCTGAATCAACGTGACTGTTGTCGGAGGGCACCAACTATACACCAACACCGATCCTGGCCCAGGATCGGTGTTGGTGTATGGTTGGTGCCTTCCTATGTTGCGCCCTGACATTCCGACTTCGCGCTCAGACACCATTCCCGGGACGTGAGCCATGGTAATCTGTGAACTTCGCGGAAACTCTGAAGACGGAACCGCCCCACATCCGTTACACTCCTGCAGTTCAAAAAAAAGCAAGCGACGGTGCGTGGCGCTGAGGCGAGCGCCACCTTTTGAGAACGGACCGCCCCCCATCCGTGAAACTCATGCACATTTGTAAGACGAGTGTGCGTGGCGCTAAGGCGAGAGCCACATTTTCAAAGCGGACCATTCTCCATCTGTGAAGCTTTTTGCAAATTTCAAGGCTCAGGATCATATTTATATGTATATATATATATATATATATATAGTGACGAAGTCTCAGGCGAGCCCGGCCCGTCCTTTCGACCAGCCTCGGGGTGCGACTGGGAGGAGTCAGTCATAAGGCAATGAATGGAGGAGAAGGAGGAGGAGGAGGGGGAGGAGGAGGAGGAGGAGGAGGAGGAGGAGGCGGATGGACTTCCTCCCTCTGTCTCTCCCTCCTCCCTTCTCCCTCCCTCCCTGGCGACCCTCCCATCCCCTCCAGCATCCTCGTTTCTCTCTTCTGCTGACCACGCGCCCCTCCTTTCCCTTCGGCCGTGGGCGCCGCAGTTGCCGCAGCCGTAGTCAGAGGCGTCGTGGCCGTGACTGCCAGAGGTGTTGGCGCAGGTGCCGTGTGGCCGCAGGTGGCACGGCGGCGGATCGCGGGGCCCTCGACGACGAGCCGCGCGATCGCACTCCTTGCGCCTCAGCTGTGCCGCGAGGCGCCAAGCGTCCTCCGCCAGGCACTGCAGAGCTCGATGGCTCCCTTCCCTCCCTCGTCGGCCTCGGCGACGACGACGTCGACCATCGACTGCCACAGCAGCCTTCGCCACGGAGTGATGCCGACCTCCTCGTCGCTCAGGGGTCTGCTCCTCCTCTCCTTTTCTCCTCCTGACGAGTTGACGAGCTGAAGGCATGAGGCTTCCTCGGATGCTGCCCTCTTCTCCTCCTCCTCCTCCTCCTCCTCCTCCTCCTCCTCCTCCTCCTCCTCCTCCTCTTGTCCTCCCGCCGCAGGGGCGGGGCCTCCCACCGCTCCCGCGAGGCCTCGGTCGGCCCTGCAGCGCGGGATGCCGCCTGGGTTCCGGGAGCGGTGGCAACAGGGGGTAGGAGGGGGACGAGTGGCGACGGGAGGAGGCCCTCCGCCCCCGAGGTCTTCCTCTTCGGCGGCGTCCCCGGCGCGTGTGCCTGCGTGCTGGCCAGGCTGCAGCCGAGTGCGGCCACAGTGTGCCGCAACTGCAGGCATGTACCCCCGAGGTTTGGATTTCATTCTGTTCGCCGCCGCGCGGCACATGCGATGCGCACGGGCGCTTGAGGTGTTCAGGGCGCTCGACGACCCAAGCGTCCGGCTGCAAGAGGGAGGTCTCGCGGGGGGGGAGGGGCGGCCGCCGAGGACCGGGGGGGGGATGCGGCTGCTGCAGCAACGAGCGCGGCTGCGGCGTTCTTCCTGGTGGTATCCGTCCAAACCCAAGACAGCGTTCGGAAACCTCCAGTGCTCTGGATGTCGTGGGAGACCGCAGCCCTCGAACGACGGCGACGCGACGAGGCTGGCGGGAGGCAGCCAAACACAAATTCAGGCCAAAGCGCGCCAACAGCACGCTGCAGCTGCGGCCACGACACCCGCTGCTTCGGCATATGCGGCACTCGAAGCCTCCCTGATGGGGTCGGAAGATCGCGCTGCATCGCCTATACATCGGCTATGTCGGCATCCGCAAGGCCGGCGCGAAGAAAATTGGGTTCCACATCTCGGCGGCGAGCCTGGGGAGGAAGTGAGAAGAGGCAGGCATCCTGCGTCGCAGCAGCTAGTGATGGCCATGCCTGGAGCCTCGTGCCCGGTGCCACTTGTTATCGCCCTAGGTGGGGGCGAAGATTGAAGCTGGGCGTGGCGTCGCGTGCCTGGACGTCCC